GCCGCAGCAAACCTGCAGACTAAGATAATTTTAATTTGCCTGATTTGATTTTCATAAATTTATTTCAATTACAGTAGGTTTAACGAGTACAGGGAGGGTAATAAAGTGGGGTTTTAGTGAAATATCAATAGCTTAGTACAAAATAAATAAATTTGCCAAGTCTTATCAAAATAATCCATAAAAAAGCAAACTACAATTAATTATTTACTTATTCCCCATAAGAAAACGTGGGAATTTTAAATTTACAATTTTGGAATTTTCTCAAGAAAAAGAAATTTCAAAGTTGGCCACCATATTGGAAAATGGTGGCTGAATTTTGAAAAACTAAATTCATATTAAATGCCACAAAAAATAAAGAAATGTTCCCCATTTAAAGTTTTCTCTAATAATTATTACCGTATCCGATATCCCAATGGTGGCCTCCTTGAGTTGATCACCCTGTATATAATACATATTTAAATATATATATAAATATATAAATTTGGACGGATGGTTTCTTTAGCATTTGTCTTTAGTTTAAACTGCCCTGCAGGTGATCGGCTGTTTCCTCTGACCTTCTGCAATTCCTACTGGTTTGCCATCATAGAAGCCAAATACATGCAATTTTTTTCTGAACTGTCCATGTTACTCAGTCCTACTGTTATAGTTTAATTCATTGCCTATCCAACCCCAAAATATCCGAGGCAACCCATTTTGAAGGTGCAGTGGCGTTGCTTGGTTAAATTCTAGGGGGGGGGGAGAAGCCTCAAATTTACCAACTGCTTAACATAGATTTCCCAACTATTTTTTATTTTAAGAAATCAATTTCTGTAGCCTACTATTTTTAAAAATCTACAAATTATTATACTACATTGCAGTCACACTCAATTCAGTATTTATTAACTTGCATTAACAAAACATAGCTAGTTTTACATATATACAAAATTACTCAATTCAAAAAACGTCTAAAACTTCTACCAATTCATAATGAAATTTTATGACTTCAAAAAAACTTGAATAAATATTGTTTCAAATCAAAAAAAAACTTTACAAACCATTGTGGTAGCAGACGTAGCAGTGTAAAATTTTAGGAATATAAAATAAGCCTATTACAGTACAAATTAGTATATAAAAAATATTTTATTACAAAATAATGAAATTTAAATACTTTTAGAAGTTGATATTAAGATCCACACTTTATTTTTTGAAATTCCAACAAACTATACCGCTAATTGATTATTGATTTCTTAAAATAAGGCGTGTTTAGCCATGTTAGCCTAGTTTAATCAAAGTTATATGAAACCAAAGAAACATCAAGTTTATTTGTAAAAGTCAAAGAAATTGTTATCTTTGATGGATTTTCGCAAATATTTAAATTGTATTTAGTTTAAAAATATATTTTTCCTGTATCTGACTTCCCAACTGTCCCAACTCGTGGCAAGGAAATTCCCAACTTTACTTTTTCCAGATTCTGGGGGGGGAGGCTCCCCCCTTACCATCCCAAGGCGACGCCCCTGTGAAGGTGTCTGGTGTATGAAGAGTGAGCTTGCTTACTCTCAGCAAGGGCGTTTCAAACTCATAGTTTTCGGGCCTTTCAGCGGCCCATGAGGCAATTATAGATGTGCACGCACACTTAAATGATATACCAAAGAAAGATTGTGGACCAAACATAATTCACCAGCCTACCCGCGGCTTTGTTCCTTTAATGCCCGAGTGTCCAGGCCCCTAGCAAAGCTATGATGATTCCTCCTACCCAATTCAGACAACGAGGCAAGACAGTCCCACACAAGCTTTGAAGTATGAGTTGAGAGCTTTTAAAGTTGGTAAAATAAAATGATTACCTTATCCAACCACAGTTGTTGGTATGATGACTAGTTTCGTTCAGGTCATTTTGTATGCAACCACATCATCCATCATTATAATCACACATCATCATTAATATTGTTGTATGTCAATAGATTCTTTAAATGACTGCCACAATCATAATAATTAAAACTTTTCATCATAGGTGTGCGCACCCACTGCACCCACAAATAGGTCGAGATTTTTTTTAATAGGAAAATAACTGACTGTACACATTACTTAATGTATGTCAAACTGACAAAGATTTCACATATCATTAAGGTCCTCTTAAACTGTTGTAACTATTAGAATAAATAAGTGTGCCTACGGTATAATCCTATATTAACAATCCAACTTTGTAAAGTAATAGAATGGATTTAATGGCATAAAGCACGGCAACCTTTAACTACAGGCCACGGCCTGGTAGAATTGGCAACATCGCAAGTGGTGTTGTTTAATGACAAACGTCCCATAAGATGACAGATGGCAGACAGGTGACATCAGCTCATTAATTCGCACTTTATTGATTTATTTATGCACATAAATTTATAAAAATATTGAAAATAAAACATACAGAATTGAAAACTGAAACAATATGAATTAAAAATCTATATCTGTAGATTTTAAGCGGAGTCAATATTGTCATAGTCCAGTAACCAATCTGTCGTAAATACACAAATACCAAACAAAACAGCTGTTACAACCCCACTTGCAATGTTGCCTCTTCGAAGGCCGCGGCCTGGAGTTAAAGGCGGCCGTGCATAAAGGGAGCAAACACCTCTTAACACCCAAAAGCACAACCAAGCTATCCTTGTTTTCTTTATGGGTTCCCTATATTTTTTAGTTTCAACAATCAATATGGAAGATCTTTCCATTCAGTCCTTCCAGCATAATGTTGGAAGGATGCTTGAAAAAATTGTATTATCAGTCAATTTGTATTTTTCTCAAGCTAGGTCATTGTCATTAGCCATATCACAGACAAATCAAAATCATCAATATCAATCCTTCTGCAGGGTACAGATAAAGCTGTTGGTACAGCTTACCTGATAGTTACCTAGCTTATGATAATAGCTTCTCCTTGGCCCCGACCAGGAGAGCCGTCAAGTTTACGTCAATTTAACACTAAAAGACTTTCTTAACACTAAAAACTTCCATTGATGAAACATTTTTTGAAAAAAAAAAAAAAATACTTCTTTGGCGGTTGATGCAGCACCTATAATTATTGTTCGTTGAAATATTCTTGTAGGATGTAGGTTAAATAGCTTGTCTTTAACAACTCCTTTAGGACAGAGCAAGAGACAGTGCAGGTGGTTGTAATCTTCAAGGCAAGCGTTGGGAACGAGTTCTTGAATGGTCTTTGACATTCTGCAGATGGGCATGTCTAAGTCGGAGCGATGTCTTGTACCATGGCTATAAACAGTGTCTCTTGATGGGAGTTTAGATTTGATTTCACATGAGCAGCTAACATGAAAATATTGACTATGTAGATGGTTAAAATTCCGGTGCTGAAAAACAGAGGTTTTCAATGGTCCAAAACCCTTTTACTAAAAGTTAAGTATGCACACTTGATTTTGCAAAATGTTTTTTTCTGTACCTGATTTAAGAACATCTTGACATGTTGGTGCATGGCCCTGGCCCCGTGGAAAAGAGCGTGATACACTACAAGCAAATAAGGTACAGCCTTTGTCAACTTCCTAAGTAGATGGACCACCGTCCTAGCCAGTATTTTACCAACCGTTTCGATATTTTCATTTTTTGTTGTGGTGTTTCCGGACCAATTGAATAGATGATTTGACAGTTTAAAAAAGTGAAAATACTTGATTGGCATTTAATCTATTTATTTAATTTTTTTGATATGTTTAGCCGAAGTAATTGATTTTGATTAATAGGAGAAGCCAACTCAGTAACGTCTTTGTACTTGTTGGCCAAGATTACAAACAAGTTTCTGAGTATTGTTTCACGGCCGCCTTTAACTCCAGGCCGCGGTCTTTGAAGTGGCAACGTCGCAAGCAGGGTTGTAACAGCAGTTTTTTTTTTAAGCAGCTAATGGTATTTGTGTACTTACGAAAGCTTGGTTACTGGATTATGAAAATATTTACTCCTCTTTAAATGTACAGATATAGATTTTTAATTCAGTATGTTAATTTTATTTTCAATATTTTAATAAATTTATGTCCATAAATTGTTATTTAAATCAATAAAGTGCAAATGATTGAGCTGATGTGACCTGTCTGCCATGTTATCTTATGGGACGTCTGACACTTAACAACCCTACTTGCGACGTTGCCAATTCTACCAGGCCGCGGCCTGGAGTTAAAGGTGGCACTGATTGTTGTCATTATCGAGTTTTAATTGATTATTCAATTTATTTTATTTGCCACAAACCATCAGCGTTTTGCTTCAGTGTGTCAGCCGTCCGAGTGCCAAGGTTAGGATTTGTCCCGGACGAAAATACAGGAGTGTGTCATCCGCAAACCTGAGGGTCATAAATGAGCTCTTGGGGGACTCCATGCCTCAAATATCCATATGACCTGAGATTTTGCACCGTTAAAGGTGTTCAAGGAAACAATTTGCCTAAGGAACAGCCTGACTGACTAATTGATTAACAGTCAAATTTTGCAATGACAAGTTACTTGTTTTTTTTTTGTTTTTTTTTATAGGGTCTTCTTAATTATATCAATAGATTACATATATTTTTGTTGATTGAACTATTTTTGTCGCCTCTGGCCGAAACACTAAGGTGGCGGGTTGTCGTGGTGGCACATTGACGGTGACCCGTTACACCGTTTATAATCATGGACCCTTTGCAATATTTTATAAATGGACAATAAAAGATTTTTCTTAGTAACATTTTAGTATACAGTAGCCAAGCCACTGTAGTTACCAAATTATATTTACAACTGTATATATGTACATGACTAAAATCTTAGCTGATTAGGATACCTTAGTAATGCCATAGATAAAACATACTCCTCAATGACCCTTTGAGGAGTATGTTTTATCTATGGCAATGCTTATTTTATAGACAAGTCTTCATGGTGCATATTTGCTCAACTTTCTTAATTTTCGTACTCTATGATCTGTCTGTAAATTGTTGTTGTAGACCTGGCTGTTGGCTGGATGGATGTGATTGTGTTGTGATGTGATGTCGACTGAGTCTGGTCTGACTGAGTGAGATAATGAAGGTGATTGTAATGGGTGGTGTAGTTGTAATATAAAAATATTCCATCTTGTATTTATATGAACTTTTTCATCAAAATAAACTTTTTTGTGTTAAAAAACTGGAAAGCAACAATAAACTTTGTGGAAACCATAACATACATTTAGTGTTGTTGCTGTAGTTCTAAACGGACAAGATTATTAAATACGACTGATAATCTTACAAACTGAAAATTTAGTCTTGGAAGGGCAAAACAACACTTTCAATCACATTGTTTGGACAGTAGTTTGTTTCAACGATTTAATCTCATGTTCAAACAAACTCTTTACAAAGTAAGTACAACTTTAATTGTATGAAACAAATTTTCTATTAATTTTACTTAGCCTGTTACTTATAATAGGCCTACTGTATCATGGCCCTTGCCATTGTAGCTTACAATAGACTATAAAGTTTTATCACTAGCAATTATTTATCCCCTGAGTAGCCTATGTAGGTATAGACATAACTTACATCACTATGACTACTAGCCTACATCAATAGGCCTATGTTTACATCAAAACCATAACTGTTATTATAGCCTATTTGAATATGACTGTGGTGTTTTCTTTATTTCGATAGTTACACCTTTTTTACAAAGACAAAGGCCTAATGTAACTTATGTTTACGTTCTCAAGTTTGACTAAACTTAATCAATAGTTAAATAAATAAATAAATAACGTCTTTATTTATCCAGCGTACATCAGATACAAAGTTCTGTTTTACATGCAAACTTTTGTCATATACAAGTAAATTAAAAAGAAACATTCTTAAAAAATAAAACTAAAGGTGCATATCTTTAACATTCTTCTTAAATACCATTAATCCTTTTTCTTTTACCCCTGATGGTAGAGCATTGTAAACCAGGGGTCCAAAGTAGGAAAAGGCCTTTTTCCCCGACTCAGTTCTGACCCGCGGTAACTGCAACAAGCCTTCCTGACGAGTACTGCGCCCACAGACCTCAGATCTTCGTACCAACTTGGTATTCAGATACTGAGGTTGGTTTGTCAGCAGCGTCTTGTGAACCAAAATTGATGTTTGGAGATCAGAGATTTGCTGTATGGATAGTGTATGAGATTTCAATCTAAATTCACTTATATGGTCAAATTTCTTCAAATTATAAACAAACCTCAGTGCATTATTCTGGAGCCTTGTCAGTATTTTGATTTTTTCTTTCGTTAAGCAACCAGAAAAGGTAGAGAGGCAGTAGCTAATAGATGGATAAACCACTGCTTGCACTATTTGAAGTTTTGCTGAAGTAGGCAATATGAACCTCAACCTGTGCAACCGTCTCAACTTGCCAACAGCAACACGACAGATACGGCTCACCTGCTCAGAAAATTTAAGAGTATCATCCAGATGGACACCAAGGACTCTTAACGAAGAACAAAGTGATAAAGGCATATTATCCAATGAAATCATCATACTACCCCTATTAGAATTCAGTCTGCCTTGCAGAGAAGAATTACTGACATGCAAAACTGAGCACTTATCAGGATTTAGTTGCAGCCCATGATCATCAGACCATTGCTTAACCACACTCAGATCACAGTTCACATCCCTGATCGCGTCAAGGAGATTCGAAGATGGAAAAGAAGCGATAAGATGTGTATCATCTGCATATGAATGAATAGCACAATACCTCAGTTGACTCCCAAGGTCGGAAGTGTAAATCAAGAAAAGGATCGGCCCTAGACAACTACCTTGCGGAACACCTCTAATCTTTGGCAAAAAGTCTGACGCTTTCAGATCAACCTTAGTCTGTTGGGACCTATTGTTTAGGTAAGAGGAAACCCAGGCCACAGAGGTTACATCAAATCGGTAAAACCGCAGTTTAGAGAGCAGAAGATCAAAATCCACCGAATCAAAGGCTTGTGAATGCCTAATCATGAATGAATGAATAGGTAGTTATGCCTAATCATATCAGCAATTGACATATTAGGCTACAGATTTTAAATTTAACCTAAGCAACTTAAGTTAAATAGAAAATAATGCAATGTTTTTAACCTTTTATGCAGATAGTGATATCCCTTGCCCATAAAAAAGGCTATGTAGGCCAGGTTATCATCCCCTAAGCTATAAGACATAAGATCCATTTATTTCCTTTAGAACTTTAAGTAGGCCTACAAAGTCATTGGAAAACGTCTAATTCTAGTACATTATGAAATATACAGGTACACTTACGTATTATACGGAGGCCACTTATTTTACAGCGCGCTGCGGCGGTTGGGTTAAGTTGGGTTATCATAAATATGTTTGTAGAACTTTCCTAGTTTCGTTATGAATCGAACTATACGAGATGAGTCATAAAAACTTATGATAACCCAACCTAACCTAACCGCCGCAGCGCGCTGTAAAATAAGTGGCCTCCGTATGATACGTAAGTACCAATATACATTAAAGATTATTAAAAAATAAAACAAATCCTTCAACATCACATGATACAGAAAAGGAAATACATAATGTGTCAGGTGACAAATGAAAAAGTCCTGAAACTCGCCATGCAAAGAGTGAAAAACCAAAAGCACACTCGGCAAAACATCAGCAAAAATAAAGTACGGAAAGTAAATAAAAGAAACGTCTTATAACACTTAAAACATATATTTATGCTTATACTGTTACTCACAAGACGGTAAATATACAAAAAAGATGGTAAGTGGTGATCGATTTCGATTGGACACTCCAATCATCATCAGACCCAATAGGCGAATGACAAGAATCTTAATGGTGTCCCTACTTATACCCTATTGGCTACCGGAAGCACCGGCCAATGCATTTTTATAAGTACAACTGGAATCAAAATGTATTTGTTCATTAATCAACTTATTTCTATTTTTACATTTTTCCCTATAAATATACAATTCTTCCCAAGCATTCATTTATCCTTTCTTACAATTCTTTAAAATATCTAGATTATCCTCCATTTTTCCTAGTGAGTGGCCATTTTGTAGCTGGTGTTGTGCGACATTTGATCTTTCCGGTTTGTTGTTCCTCCACGCAGATATGTGGTTTTTGAAGTGGTTAACGAAGTTCACAGTCTGTCCAATGTAGAAGTTATCACAATCGTTACAATTGATTTTATAGATGCCCGAAGCGTCGAATTTGTTGAAATCTTCTATTTTCGGATGCAGTATTTTACTTATGGTGTTCTGAGTCCTGTAGGCTATTGAAACTCCGTATTTCTTGAATCTGTTAGCAGTCCTTTGTGTTGTAGTCCCCGTGTAGCTAAATGTGATATATCTGGTGTTTTCCTCTTTTATCTCTTCTAATGTTGTTCTGCTGTGTAGTGTATTCTGCCTATCGATTTTCCTTCTCGTCTTCCTTGCGATTTCCTCTATCGTCTTGGTTTGAAATCCATTAACTTGAGCGATCTTCTTAATGGTGTCCAGTTCTTTCTTCCTATTGGCTTGGCTAAGTGGGATCTTATAGGCTCGGTACAGCATAGATCTAAATGCTGCGGTCTTGTGGATTGTCGGATGGATAGACTTGCTGTTGATTGTAGTGTCCGTTTGCGTAGGTTTCCTGTAGATGTCAAATTCTATCTTGCTCTCTTTTCTCTCTAATGTGAGGTCCAGGAAGTTGATCTTTTCGTTTTCTTCAAACTCGTTGCTAAAGGTGAGGTTCGGGTGGTGGCTGTTTAGTGTCTGCATCATCGTTTCGTGCTCTTGCTCCTGGGCTTGTTTGAAGATAACAAGAATGTTGTCTACATATCTACAGTTTTACATCATGATTCTTTCTTAAATTCTTTAACATTTCTTTTTCCTGATGCTGTAAAAATATTTCTGACAAAATTGCCGAAAGTGGACTTCCCATAGCTAAACCATCTGTTTGTTCGTATAAAATCTATTGTTAAATCTAAAATAATTTTGTTTCAAAACAGTCACAAGCAATTTTACAATCTGATTGACATATTCATCGTCTAAACTATTCTGTAAAAGCCTACATTTAACAAGATCTACAGTTTCAGATACAGGTATGTCAGGTATGTCACAATTTTGAAACATTGTAGGTAGGAGCACATTTAAAGTTAACTAAGGGTCTGATGGGTACATTCCTCCGGTGTATTTTTGGGATCCCTTTCTTCACGGGTGCTTTAGAATTTAGGATGTTCATCTTCTGTCGACATTCTTCGGGAATCACTCTGGTGCATCTCTTCACGACGTCGGAAAGCTCTTTTTGGTACCTCTGCGTTGGATCCTTTTTCAGCTCTTTGAAGTTATTTTCTTTGATGAAATCTTCCGTCTTCTTTACATATTCTTCTTTTCCGAGCACTACTATGGCGTTGCTTTTTACTGCTTTCACAACAATTGAGCTATTCTCTTCCAGTTTCTTCTTTATTTTGTTGCACGTCTTCAGTTCTTCATTTCTGCTGGGATCTATGGGTCCTTGGCTGGTGAAATCGTTGGCTGTCACTTCCGTCCAAACGGCATAATGGTCTACGTCTCTGAGTGAGTTTACATTTGCTTCAACTTCAGTAGCTAGTAGTTTGTTTTCGTCCTTCTTCTTCATTGCGAAATTGTACTTCATTCCGTAGTTCAGTATTTTCGTTTCTTCTTCACTGAATTAAATGTCTGTAAGGTTGATGACTCTCTTCTGGAATTTGTGTTCTGTACTGGTCCTATCCAAGTCTTCATTAGACGTATTCTTCTCTACGAGTTTGTCTAATTTGTCGTTTATCCGTAAATATTTCCGGTCCATGGCGTCTTCAACCTCTTCACTGACGACTTTGTGTAGTAAATTCCATGCAATTAGTCTGGTTAATCTGGTTCAGTTCTTCTTTTTCACAGTAAAGTTGTTTGATCATATTTTGGATGAATAATACGTCTCCTTGTTCCTTGGTTCTTTTAGCGGCAGTGGTGTTACAGTTGACCTTGATTTTAGCGTATTGTGGTGTAATTCTCTTCTTGATACATTCTTTGTTGAAGTAAATATCTGCAATCTTCATGGAAATCTTGATTCTTGTATCCCTATATTTTGCTGCTACCTTTGCTTGAAAAAAAAGTACGTACATAGGCCTATTCTTTTTTCAGTTTAAAAAATTCATCTATAGATACTTTCCATTGCGCTGGCCAGGAAGAGATATTCCACACCCCTTTTGAATTGTTTACTTGGAAGGCTCTGGGCTGTACAAGAGAACATATTGAGTAGTTTAAGGCTTCAATGTCATAGTTTCTTTGTAATTTCTTAAGCCTAACAATGAGTACATTTACATCCTGTTACTTCTTAAGTTAATCTTTGGTCAACCTACAAGTACAATCCCATTGATTTTGACAATTGCCGGCAACAGGTTCTCTAACCAAAGTGAGGTTATTTTGACATTATAAAAACCATGGTTTTTAACCCTAATTGTTTTACTCTTTTCGCATTGACTATGACTTGTATTGTCTTAAATGTTGTGAAACTTTCTACGAAACCCAACGGGTGGATTCTATTTTAGAAAATTTGGTCTACTAGATTCCGACTGATGATGGACCTTCGGGCCCGAAATTAATTTCGGATCAAAAAACAGGATTGCTAAGGTAAGGCCTTATAATATCAATTAATATATAAGCAATCCAGAGGCTAAAATGATTGATAATAAATGGCTTGAAGAATGGTAAAATAAAAAAGGAATAGAGAAAATATTTTAATTTTTAATTAGCCTAACTTAAGATTTGAAAGTTGCCATTGTTTTATGTTATTTATGTTGACGTGAGTTGTTTTGAAAAACATATGTTGTAATATGAAAAACGCTCTAGAATAAAGAAGAATTTCATTTGATTTCATTCATTTAATTTCATTTCATTTCATGTCTGCTGGAATGTGCCGGGTGTCTAGGTTAGGTTCTACCAAAATTATTTTAAGTTATCTTACGTAAACGAAAAAAATCAATGCATCAGTGGCGGCTAGTGGGTTAAAGTAGCTAGTGGGAGGATGCATAGCATTTTTTTGGGAGGTTACTGATACCGGGAGAGGGTCTTGGTTAAAGTAAAAAAAATTAGTAACATTTTTAAAACATTGGTTCCAAAAGCCTAATTTTTAGATAGGCCTAAGTTGCTTTATTCATCTAGGCTAATTAAATGTCCTCACCGCATAAGTTAATTTGCAGAAATCTTTTTTACAGAATTCATAATTCATTAGCATCACTGAACAATACTTCTAGAGAAACAATAGGCCTAAGTTAGTACCTATACAGTAGAACCTCGATAGTTCGACACATTGTGGACTTAAGCACAGAAAACATACTACTATAACCCAGAATGCCAACCGCATGGTAAAAAGCATTAAGCGTTTTGAGAGAGCTTTGCCTGTCAATCCGTAGGCAGCGCCACCAGCGTTGCCATGCACTCAGCATAGCAACGCTGGTGGCGCTGCCTACGAATTGACAGGCAAAGCTCTCTCAAAACGCTTAATGCTTTTTACCATGCGGTTGGCATTCTGGGTTATAGTAGTATGTTTTCTGTGACTTAAGGGATGTCGAACTATTGAAATGTCAAACTATAGGTAGTAAATGGAGTTTAACATAAAGAAATAAGTAAAAACACAAGTCTTTTATAGTTAAATAACCCAAATTTATTAAATACTAAAATGCTTAACAATTTCACTGCTCATTAGTTAAGTCTCAAGTCAGCAATAAATGAAAAATTAATGTTAAAATCAGTTAACATCACAATAGTAACCATTAAATACCACTGGACAAAATAGCTCAGCCCGTGTTGAACTACAAGGAGTTTCGAACTATCGAAGGTTTATTGTATTACAGTAGACTCCCTCTTATCCGGACACCTTTTAACCGGACATCGGTTTAACCGGATTACACTCGGCAGAAATGACATCTCTTTAACCGGACAATTTTTATCAGCACATCGGTTTAACCAGACTAGATCAGCAGGAAGTGGGCGGTACTGAAACACTGTTCTCGTGGGAAAGATTTGAGACCAGTGATAACGTATCTAAATACAATGCTCGCCTAAATTTAAGTCAACTATTTGGATTACATTAAGAGTTTTTGGGGACATCGGTTTAACCAGAAAAACCGTTATCCGGGCTGGCCTCAGTCCCGAAGAGTCCGGATAAGAGGGAGTCTACTGTAATAAAAGTTAACACCTCAAATACGGACAGCACAATGAACATAACCCTATGAATCAATAGCCACTATTGTAGGCTATTCACTTATTTGACGTTTACTGATCAGTGATCATATAGTGTTGACATTGACAGTCAACAGATCACAGTGCTCGTTGTGGTAATAGCTAGAAATACTGTTTGGACGGAGTCCAAAACGCCCTAATATCTGTAGCATTAGAGCCTGACACAGCACTGTGATTGGTCAAATTGTTTCATACGGTTTATATGGGAGTTTGTACTAATATCTACATAGTCCCCTTGTAGGGCTACTTTCTGCATTGCAAAAACATGTTGTGTCCATTATCATCCATCCTAAAAGTATTGACCTAGCCAACGTTTATGTACCGGTACTGTACATTCAAATGCAGGAATGTAAATCATATTTATGTTAATTATTATAGGCAAATTTTTACTTTTGTCTTGAAAATGGAGGACTTTGTCCCGGAGTCCTTATGGACCAGCCGTCAGTTAACTGCAACATTTTCTGCAACTGATCTCAAACCTCAAAGTTTTAAAAAGCTTTATGAGTTGAAAAGTCAATCATAGGAATTAGGCCTAAATACTTGTCCAGTCCGAAAATCAGTTGTCCATTGGCCCTCAACATATAGGCTGGGCCTCACCTAAAATGAAATGAAATGATATTTATTCGTCTATAGACATTATACAGACTGTCCCAAAAGTCCCGGACCGGTTTAATATTTTCCAAACGACAACAGATAAGTCAATAAGATTTGGTGCATCAACACCACACCTAAAAATCTACTTTTTTAAGGAAATATCGAATTTCTGTCACATCATGGGAACGTCCCGCAAGGAGTCAGAAGGAAATCTTAAATAGAAGCATAGGTTGACATGTACATCAAATTAAAGGTCTTTACTAGCAGAATATATTGCTGCAAATTTGAACTCAAACGGACAACCAAGTCAAGAATGACAGTGGTTCAAAGATTCATTTAATTTGCATTTGGGGGCACAGCCCTAGGAATCGGAAAAAAATTGTTAACGTAAGCATAGGTCGATATGCACATCAAATTAAAGGTCTTCACTAGTAGATTACAATGCCGTAAATTCAAGCTCAAAAGAACACCTGAGTAAAAAATGGCAGTCGTTCAAAGATTCAAAATGGCAGGTTCAGGAAATCTTTGAACGGCCGCCATTTTGTAACGGGTGGTCCTTTTGAGGCGCGGTTTCCGGCATTGAACTCTGCTATCTAAGCCCTTTAAACTGATGTGCATATTAACCTATGCTTCTATTTAAGATTTCCTTCTGACTCCTTGTGGGACGTCCCCATGATATGACAGAAAATTGATAGTTCCTTAAAAAAGTAGATTTTTAAGTCTGGTGTTGATGTGCAAAATATTATTGATTTATCTGTTGTCGTTTAGAAAATATCAAACCGGTCCGGGACTTTTGGGACAGTCTGTATAAATGCATGAGACACAGTCAAATTATATAAATACATGCTGGAAGAGGCACAAGTCAAGTTCAGTCAACTAATAATAATAGTAAACAATTAGTGTACAAGGTCTTAGGATACCCCTACACATCATGCAAATAAATAATGGTACAAAAGCAGATAAGCATAGACAGGCTGAAAAGAGATTCAAGGCTGGAATTAGATAATCATATGTGGTTATGTTATTGGTTGTAAAGCAAAAAAATCATCAATCTTATACAGGGGGTTTCTGACAAGCCATTCATAAATTGCATTCTTAAAACTCTTGTAAGGGAGTTGAATTATTCTTGGCGATAGTTTATTCCACAACTTTCTACCCATAATAATATGGTTTCTTTTAATCTTTTCCAGTCTTGTAAAAGGAATGTCAAGGTTTTCTCTTTTCCTAGTGTCAAAGCAATGAAAATCACCCCTTAGAGCAAAGGTTTCATGCAACTTAAAACTAGATAACAATACATTATAAAGGTTTGTCACAGTTAAAGCGTTAAAGTTAATTAATAATGGTTTACAATGTTCATTTTGATCTTTGTTGAATAAATCTCATCTTTGTAATTTTTGATCTTTGTTGGATTGATGTGGTAACTATTTCCCCAAAGGATTATCCCGTAGGTTAGAATTGACTGGACAAGTGCAAAATAAACATTTTTGAGATGATTTAGAGGCAGAAGGTTCCTTAATTTTCTAAATAAAAAAGAAAGCCTACTTAGTCTTGTGCATATATGTTGTACCTGGGAGTTCCAAGTCAGTTGGGGATCAATAATTACTCCAAGAAACTTTACATTTGAATTGCTTTTGCTAGTTTCCTCCATTTGAGGTGTAGGCCGCAAGCTAAATAGCATAGACTGTGTTTTGTCCTCGTTGACAAGGAATTTATTTGCTGCAAACCATTCAGAGGTCAAACTTAGGCTACTTTCCACTGCAGCTACAAGCTGCGTTACATCTGCACCCTTACTTAGAATGGTGGTATCGTCTGCATACAAATATGCATCACAGTTGAGGCTGAAGGGTAGGTCATTGATGGCAATGAGAAACAGGAGAGGACCCAATACTGAGCCCTGAGGTACTCCACAGTTAGTGGATAGGACAGAGGACCAGGTATTGCCTATGAAAACTGCCTGTCTTTGATCATGATATGAACCTTTTAGCTTAATAACCCACCTTCAATGATTTATTGTATTATTTTGTGATTTTTCATATGCTAGGTCACTGCATAAATAAGATTCAAGTGACCCTAATTCTACACTTGAGTTTACTGCCTGAAATTGCCAATTCAATATTAAATACAAGGGGTTGATATTAGGCCTACAGCTGTAATGATTACATGAGACAGTTTTTTTTCAGTTAACTGTAATGGGAACATGGTTTTAAGGATAGAAAAATATCTGGAAAATCATTCTTGTAAGAGCAGGAGAGTTCCAAGTAGTTCCCTATAATATTTTTGAGAACAGTGTGCATTGAAACTTCAGTTGTCTAGGATGGTAAATATTAGGCTACACTACACTACATGAAATAAAGATTCTGTTATGTTGAAAACCAAGAATATTTTTAGTGTCTAAGTCATTAAACATTAAAGGTTAATTCCTAAACTAAGTATAGGCCTACTGTTGTTGTTTTATCTTTACAATTCTTTGTAGATATGCATCTTTCCTGAGTGAAGTTGTATCTGCTTTGAAAACAACGTTGACCCTACTTACACCAATTGGGAACACATTGGAAGACTTTTTCCAACAATGGAACTGACAGTGGCCTGCGGGATGGAGACCAATATCAGGTAATTGCAGCTTACAATTGAGTCCTGCTATTCCGGCTAAGTTATTTCAAAAATCTGCCTGTTCCAAGTTCCAGTCTAAAGTTAGTAAATAATAATTATTGTTTAAGACGTTATTAGCTTACGATACCAACATGCAATTGAGAACATCATCCGCGGTTGCAGAGACATCATTACGATATCCAGCAGTGGCGGCAAATTGTGAACATCGTCGGCGGTTGTGATGATCAATTATTAAAGAAATCTATTTATTCTGAATTCTGGTCAATTAATTCTAACCACGTTTAGTCCCAGTTACTTTGAAATAGTGGGAACTCTAGGCTAATGATCAATTTAGCAGCATTTGTTGAAAGTGATAAATCAACCAGCAGGTTTTTGTTCACTACCAAGAAAGCCATTCAAAAAAATACTTGTTGGACTTTTGTTACCTAATATATTATTATAAATAGTTTACTTAGGTGTAAATTTGGCATACTGTTTGACTTCCTAGGTAATTGCTAAGCGATTTAGCAAGGATTTAGGGATTATAATGATATTAAATTAAATGCCAATAGACTACCAGGTTAAAAATGTTCAAAAACTACCTCCTTGTGTTAGATGGTACAAGATACAATAGCTAACTAAAAAATTACAATTTAATCTCTTCGTCATCATTTACAAATAACACTAGAACCTTGTTTATCATTGGTAGAATGTGCAATGAGCTTACGAACCTGCCTTCGGTTATAATCACTCTAGTTTACTAGTAGTAATGTGTGTCGGCAATCCCTAACATTAGATTACGTCTTAGAAAAAGTCTATGAATCATACCTGATTTTTTTCTAGAGCTGGGAAGTTTGGAAATATAGCCAACAGGCCTATATATGGCCATTTACGGACATAATAATATATTATTTACATTTTCAAGTAGTTTAACTGCATTTGTTGCTAGTCTGAACAATTTGATAATCCAAACTAATTGTCCAACAGTTAGCTTGGATTAGCCGGACTCTGGTGTATCCACCAATATTTTGCTTATTGGCCAATAGGCACATAATTTTCACCCATTATAAATGATTAACAAACACAAACTTTACAGAAAAATCTGTGGTTGCGAAGACACTGTTATCATCTCCTGTGTTCGCAGCCAAATTGTGATATCTCCTATGGTTGTGGAGGTATATTCTTTGCCTTTGGGGTATCGGGGAACTTAGTGAACATCTACAGACACAGAGTCATCATAACATTTCCCCTCGATTAAGCGGTTATCATAATTGTCTTCCACTATTGAGGTTACATGATAATCATCTCCCGCAAATAAGGTGACATCATAATTGTTCTTCAGATTCACAGTAAATTTTCTACTGTGCATTAATTTCTGAATGCTTTCTGCCTTCAGCAGAGTAAAACTCAGTTCGGCATGATTTTCTGACTTGGTGCTTAATCACCTGAGATTTAAGGGCTAATATCTTGAAATATTCTGAAATTGGAATCACATCCAATTTGGCTGGAGTCTGTCAGACTGTTTGAGAGCAACACAAGGCAATATCAGAAAGATCGTTGTGGCGTTCCTACACTGCTCTGTTTGTCTCCGATGTCTGCTATGACCTGATAAATTCGCCCTTACGTCACACAACTAATTCTAATATGTCCTTTGTATTTATTTCTTACTCAATGCCTTCTTCTTGTTTTTCATCTCACCTGCAGGTTGTCATGGTCACCGGTCGAACCAAATAATTGACTTTCATGCTATTGTATATCACTCAGCAATCAGTTTAAATCTCTTCATTCTTGAATACAGTAAAAAGTTTTCAAGGAGGATTTAGATTTTGCTGATTACTGTTATAGGCCACTTAATTAATTAAGTAAAATAAGTAAGTAGGTAAATATGTTATGTGCGGGTAGGCTAATTAAGTTTCATTTGTTTATTTTCAGATGGTTCTAAATGGAGGGTGTATCGAGAGTCTGGTTATTCCCTACTGCAATCAAAATGTGGATTTGACAAACTACCCTAATATGGCAGGAAAAGCAGTCCTTATTTGTAGGCCGAATTCACATCCTTTTGTGGTAAGTAAAACAGCTTGAAACCAACAGTTGTTTGGGGTTACAATTTTATTTTTAAGCGATTTGAAAAAAAAAATGATGACATTTTACAAATGGCTGAATTGTGATTTGGCGAATGGCTGTTTCTTTGGGATGTTGAAGAAGGCTGTCAACTCAAAGTCGTCTGATGTTTAAACTTTTTGTACTTGCCATTTGTAAATTCTCTGTTGATTTCCCAAGCCACAAGTGGAGCTTTATCTTTTTTTGTGGATGCCAAATAAATAAATAAATCTTTATTGTCACATAACGTTTACAAAATATAGCAATGCTATAAAACAGGTGACATTGTGAATACAGTATACAAATACCTTAAAACTAAGGAGTTATAAAAGAATAAAATAAACTAACGCTATGAAAATAGAAATAATTGTTGTAGACAAAATAGATAAACTTAAACATTGCATTTAAAATACCAAATAATTACACATCTTGATCACATAAAAACTCATCTATACTATAATATGTTTTCCCTAAAAGAAAATTAGTAAGGCTGCTCTTGAAATGCTTAGACTGTATTCTGTTTTTGAGCTCTTGAGACAATTTATTAAACAATTTTTTGCCCATGTATGTCGGAGTTTTTACTACTAATGAAAGACGGTGCCGCGGATATTGAAAATTATATTTTAACCTAGTATCGTACTTATGCTTGACATTTTCACCACATAATTTTTCAAAATTTCCCTCCACCATCTAAAGTGTTTAAAAAATTGTTAAACTCGGAACAGTTAAGATTAAGCTGCCATTCAATATACATGCCACTCATCATTTTGAAATTGCATTTTACCAAGCAGTTTGATTGTGAAACAAATTTCTTAAATATGGGACTAAGCATTATGCTCTACAGTTGAAACAAATTAATACTCTGAGAATCAATCCCAGCCTCTAAAAAATGATTAATTAAAAAGGAGATTTATTTCTAAATGGAAAATGCTCTATGTCGAGCATCTTTTTTACTATTTCCATTCCAATACTTAAACTACCTCATTGAAACAATCAATTATTGGAACTTGGGTTTCCAATCTAATCTAGGATCTTGCCTTAAGCCCTAGCCTGCGATCGTACAGTAAAACTCCAACTATCTGAACCAATTGGGGCGGGTCCCCATTCAGATAATAAAAAATTCGGGTAGTTGGATTTTAACCGAAATTCAGGTTCAGAAACACTATAGGTCGAAATTTGTCCTTATTAAAACACAATTAAGTAGCATGTACTACAATACTTGACAGTACAGTATTGATATTGTAAAGTACAACCCCGATTATCCGGGTTAATAAAGGGGAGGGAGACCACGTATAGTGAAAGCCATGGTTAATCCAACATGGTGTAGAAAAAATAAGACGGAAAAAAACACTGCAATACTGTGCAAACAAAAATTTCCATTAATGTCACAATATAAATTTTTATCAACAAAATATGATATGACACAATCATAACATTGCACAATCATGACATTTCAAGTCATTGACCTTGGTTCAGCTTAAATACAAACTGAAACGCCATACAAGCTATGGCCAACACATAGGCCTAAGAGTAGGCTATTGCGGATGGAAATCGGGTAAGTTCTGGTGTTCATTTATCCGCACTATGTTTTTAAGGTTTTTTACGGTTTAGAGAGAAATAGGGAAACTTAATGTTTAGAGGACTGATAAAAAATGGGAAAACCTATTTTTACCCCATAAATCTCTCCATAAAACCCCATTTCAATGGTCCGACGTGAACTCGTTAGAATAAAGGTAGGTTTACACATTTGTACCGAATTTAATCAAAATTGGATCATTTTTGCTTGAGTTATTGTGCTAACAGGCATATATAGGCCTATATGAATTTGAACGGATGGTGTTTTTGACCTCTGGGGACATCAAAACAAAAAAAGTAAATCGGTCCTGGGTCCAAGTCTTACCATGAGACCTACAGTAATAGCTACTTTCCTATAGAGAAATTCACTAAAACATTAGATTAGTCATCAAAAAAGTGTATAATTATAGCCTACTTAGTGATAGAAAAAACTACTTGTTAAAATAGAAAAGAATAAAGATAGCCACAAGTCCCCAGGCAATGAAATCAGTTGTGCCTTGTGATATACCACACAGCAGACGGTATAGTTTTCTTCAGTTAGGCTTAATTTAAACAAATCTACTTTTGAATGGAATAAGTTAAAGTGGAAATAACTTAGAACCGATAGCCTAGGTTAAATTTAAGTTAGGCCTAAATGACTCTTTACTGAAGTACTGTTTACAAATCATGCCAAATAAAAAAGATTTATCCAATGTATCAATGTATCATACTCATATTCAATACATTATAATCAAATATTACTAACTTAATAAATACCATGATTCAACAATTTTCAAAAAATAATTTGTGTAATTCCAGGATCGTACTTTGATTCTTGAACAACCTGTCAAAATTGGACGGTCTGTTGCAAGAGCAAGGGCTTCTCAAACAAATGGAATATTTGATTGCAAAGTGCTCTCTCGTAATCATGCTCTCATTTGGTACAACAATGGAAAGGTAAGTTTGTTATCAATCAATGTAACATAATACATAAACAATAAACATCCATGTGCATAATTTTAGATTTAGAACACTGCATCACATAAACATAGGCCTAAATGAAATGAATACATATGTGATCCAAACTTCACTCCATCCCTGCAATCGTTCCAGCTGCAGTTATTTTCATTAAAACCCGTTTACCATAAGGTTCGATTTTCTTTTTGGTAGGAAGAGTAAGCCTAATTATACGGTGAGTGATTTTTTTCAATATGAAACACATTTATAAACAGGGTGTCTTGCAACCATATAAACAACCTTTGTCCCGTTATAGAGCATTTCAAAAGACACAAAAAATGTGAATAATATGTGTCCTATCTCATTCCGTTTTCGGTCTATCTGTCTGTCTGTTTGTGATTTTTACAAAAATATTCATAACTCATCAACTGTTTGAGCTACAGCGTTAAAATTCTGTAAACATGTTTATCTTATAGACCACTATGTTTTTGCAAAATATTAATACAAACATTTTACCCGTTTAAAAATGGCGGGTTTAAAAAATATTTAGTAAAATTAACGCTTTTCATTGAATTTGACTCATATATTTTAATAACTGCCATTTTTAAACGGTTAAAGAGTTTTTATTCATATTTTGCACAAACATAGTGGTGTGTGCTGTGTGCAGCAAAGTGCCACTTCGTCACTAGTTACACAAATAACTATTCTTCTTGACTTAGAGTGTAGTAAGGTTCATTGATGTTTTAATGTATAAATTAGTTTTTTCTTTTCATGAACGAGCGAGCGGTATGATTTGACCAGAAAATTTAGAATTTGTTTACTCAATCCTAAAAATCCAGTATACATAGGCCTACAGTTGTAACAAAATAGTACAATGTCGAATGTATTCACAGAAAACTCAAAACTTCAAATAGTACTTGAAATATTAATTTCATAGCTTGCTGGACACCCTGTTTTACTTGTACTTCTGGATAGTTATAAATAAAAATACATAATACATCATGTATGTGTGTTGCAGTTTTATCTTCAAGATACAAAATCAAGCAACGGAACATTTGTTAACAACCAAAGACTTAGCAAGTCTGGGGAGGAGTCTCTGCCCCGTGAAGTGAGCAGTGGTGATATTGTTCAGTTTGGAGTGGATGTTTTAGAAAACACGCGTAAAGGTAAGCTTGGAAGCATATTATAACCCTACCATATTGGGGAAAGCAAGCTGGTTTAGTAGCACAGGGCTTCGGTCCCTGAGGTCCTGGGTTCAAATACTGCCAATCACAAATGGATTTTGTCATGTGATGATGCCGCAAAGTCCTCTAGGCCTGTGTCTTTGGATGAGGGTTTTCCTTAAATTAAGGTTTCTATCTAACTCCTGTCACAGTTTTAAAAGCAAAATAACTCAAATCTTAGACCAATATCCTGCTTAATTACTTCATGCACTACTATTCTAGCTAATCACTACTCCTGTGGGGCGATTAGTATAGTCATCGTAGGCCTATTCAAAAACGTTGTGAAAGAAAATTTACACCGGCAAAGTATGAATCTCGTTCTGTCATAAGATTTTTGTAGGAAGGGGGTAATCCCTCTTGATTAGTATTGCTTCATGACCGATATGTATGTAAAAAAGTGTTTGATAGTAAAACATGTGCATTAGTGGTAGGGATGGGCGAGTAGTGTTCTTTTGAGTCGAGTCGAGTCGAGTAATTAGCCCTAATACTCGAGTATCGAGTCGAGTCGAGTCAAGTAGTTCACGAGAAAATCAACAATTTTACTTTACATATAGCTGTGGCAAAAAACCTACATCTTCATTTTTACGAACAAAGCATTTCTCAATTCACCAAAAATAGACCTGGTTAAAAGCTTTTATACCATATAAAAAACAGTGTATCAAACTTATATTTTGGTGTTAAAGGTGTATTATTAATTGCAAAAAAATTTCAAAAATATGGAACTAAGTGTTTATTTTAAAATAGGCGTACTGTAAATGTTTGAATTTGACTAAAGCATGAGATCTAATAAAGTTTCCTCTAATTTATAAATAGGCTTATAAGTATTTATCTAAGTCATTTCTCAGTTTTTGTATTTATTTGAAATTCCATGAAATTGTCTTAGTTAACTCATTAGTTTATAATTTTTTTTTAAATTACGTAGCCTACATCTTGGTCTACAAATACTCTTTGTAAGGTAAGTTTTTTCCCCTAAGTGAGTAAAAACAAACTTCCTATATAATGAAATTTTCTCACTAATTATATATCTTCAAAATTTGTTTAACTATGAAAAAGTCACCAAGTCTAGCTGAAAACATAATAATAAATGAGGATATTTTTGAAATACAGAATAACTAATCAAACAAAATGTTTAACACTTTTACTTCTTAAATTTTTTTCCTTGAAAATGTCAACAGTTTTTCACTTATTTTTAATAAATATTATCACTTATAATTGTTTTAAAGAAGTCCAGATGTGTGAACTTGAAGAGCAGGCAAGAGACATACGTCACTGCCACAAAAACTCTTCTCTACTGTGAATGAATGAACTGTTTATTGTGTGAAGCCCCACCCACCGTCTAACGGGACATGGGGGAGGAAAAGAGAAAGTTTGGCAGAATTTGCCCTTGTTCTAAAGCCTGGTTCACATGCCCTCCCTCACCCTCGGCCTCAGTCGCTTGCAGATTTCCATTACACAAGAGTGTTATTTTGAAATACTGTAAATGTTTGAATTTGACTATGATGAGATCTAATAAAGTTTCCTCTCAAAATAGGCTTAACTTTTTAAGTATTGATCTAAGTCATTTGTCAGTTTTTGTATTTCTTTTTAAAAGCAATTGCAGTTATACATTAAAAAATTACAAACATCTTGGCCTACAAATACATTTTGTAAGGAGAGTCTTTTCTCTAGTGAGTAAAAACGACCGTGGTCAAGGAATGAACTGTGCTAAAACAGCACATTGTCGATGTTTACAAAAGTATTTTGACTGAAACCTGAAACCCTGGTATTTTTTAAAGACATTGCATAATAGCCTAAGTCGACGTCTGTGGAGAAAAGTATGGCAATAGATAGGTTTTACTTTTAGCCTACAATAAAGATTATGTTTTGGGACTAAAATCTCCTAAAGACCAAAAGAGTGCTTTTAACAAACATTTCATAGTTTTATTTAGTAACAAAAGTGTTTGACTATGTTCCCGATTATACCAAGAACAAGGTTCGGCATAGTGGATTCACTGTGAATCGGCCTGCCTGGCAGTGTTTCCACACGACACACGACCAAAACAATAATCCAGCTTACTGGGTCGAGAAATCCTGCTTTATCACGCTTTAAAATTGTGAAAAATCCCGTTTTATCCCGCATGATTATTTTTGTACAATACCTAGTATAATACTTGACGTATCATGTTTATAAAGTTGTTTTAACATCACTATTATATTTTACTACAGTATTTAATCAATTTGAGTTAGTTTTTCTCTATAATTAAATGGAAAAAATAAAAATAGTCGTCACAGCCGAAAATCCCGCATCCCGTTTTAATCCCGCTCAAGGTCTAAAAATCCCGTTTTCGGGATAATAATCCCGCGAATGGAAACACTGCTGCCTGGCCCTTATGCACGACGTCACTATAACCTCCGTGTAGGGGTGTCAACAATGGATCGGAACAATCGAAGTTTTGAACATGTCTGTAACCTAGTTTTTTATACTTAAATACTCATTATTTATAAACAAACACGTCCTACATATCGGATCTCGAATCACGATATTTATCGATACCCTTTCCACCCACAATAAAACATTAAACGATGTCAAAGCAATCGTCATTTGCTCCATTGAAACACGAAAGTCGATTGGCTGACATGGTAGTGCACTGACGCCTCCTGACCAATGAGAGCTGTTGTTACATACTTTTATTGTCAACACTCACCATTCGTTATAACATTACAAAATCGACACGGACTAAGGCTTATAATATTTTTCAATAAATACATTATGTTATAGTAGCACTTAAAACTTCACTAAACTCTTTAATCAGTAGATAGTGCAGATCAAAATATGGATCTACTTTTTGGCGCAATATAAAGCAAGCCTAACCATACGACGATGTTAAAGTTTAATGGTTGAATATAATTTTTCTAATGATGCGTATAATGCAGGGATTATTAAACTGAAAATTTCGACGTGTTTAGGTTATTTATTTTGTACTAAAAATAAAAATAATACATCTAAATGTCTGACTTATTGATACAGACATTGTTTAGTATAATTAATTTCGTGTTGTTGGGACATTCGCTCGCCGGTTGTCTCTTGAGTTGAGTCTGACATCTTGAAATTTAGATTCGTAGATTGTGTTGTGCAATGCTGAAGCTAAACAATGTCACCGGCACCGTCGCTGTTTTGAACTAGATAGTTTCTAAGTTGGCTATGAAAATTGTTAACCGTGATTACAAAACTAATACTGTAGCTATACAGTAAATAAATGTTAAAATAAAATATCTATCCCTGTCGGTATCATCGGAATCGACTTTTGACAATCGAGTCTTGGTACCGATACCAATGTCCAAGTATCGGTGGTATCGATGACGATAATCGACTCATCCTTTTTTACTAGTAGAGCTGTATTGTGACGTAATCGATGCATCGGGATTTTGATGCATGCTGGATCGAATCGGGATTCAATGCATCGCACTCGCACACCTACACCACTGCCTATCACCCAGTGTCAGCTCAGCTGTCGGCGCTGTCACTGTCAGTGAAATGGATGACGCAAGCGATGTCTAGGTTGCCGATTATTAGTAGGCCTAGTGTGTCAATATTTAAAGGGGTTAAGGGATTAAATAAAACTCAAACATTTTCCTTTCTTACTATTTATTTGTCAAATATCAATGAAAATAACGAAATCGGCGTAACGTCTACTACTCGACTCGAGTCACGAGTATCTTTAACTACTCGACTCGACTGTCGAGTATTGCCAACTACTCGAGTAATTACTCGACAGTCGAGTACTCGCCCACCCCTAATTAGTGGCTTAGGAAGTTTGTAGGAGCGCTCCAGTACACAATAATAGACCCTACGTTGATGTTGTCTTCCAAACGACCCATAGTACATTTCACACAAACAGTATATTAGTTTTAGGTCTAGCCTAACCCTCAGTGTAACTTACAAATAGGTAATCTGTGTGCCTCTAAATTACATATCACAATAGGATTTCTTACTGATCACATATAGCCTAGACCTGATATCCTTGATTTTCCTATATAATTGTACAAACAAAACAATAATACAACTCCAAAATTAATATTTTACTAGTTCAGAAACATTAATTTGCTCTGTTGATTGAAAAGTTTAAATATGAAATTAAAAAAATAATTTTTCTAGTGACTGTAGTAAATTTTATGGCTTTATTTCAGTTACCCATGGCTGTATTGTGGCAAACTTGAAACTATATCTTCCTGATGGCAAGGAGTCCAAAGCTAGGTGAGATGCAGTAATCCTAGTTGTTCTGTTATAAACTACCTTAGTCTATTTGACAGGTCCATCATATCCATATTTAATATATTTATAAAATTAGTCAAACAAATTTTAAGCTATTTTTTAAAACTGTAAACAATTAACTATGAACGACCTACAAGAACAGATTTAAAATGTCAGTTTTTACTTTGAACTCCAATTATCCAAACTCCAATCATTTAGATTGCCGATCATCCGGATCATCTTGATAAGAAAAAAATAAACAATTTGAGTCAGAAAAATTAAGTTGATTGCAGTTTTGACTACTGTGTCCATCATGTGGAAGTATATTGTAGTGTTGTATCGGCGGACGATGAGTCCGATGTTGCTTAGTGACACTGTCTTGTATACTTCTCTTGAAAATTCCAATTATTTGGATTTTTGATCCTCGGGATGTGGGTCCAGTCCAAATTGATCTGGATACTGTGGGCTAGATAAATTTAAGAAATTTAACAGAAGGTTCATGATATAGAGAATAAAGTAACAGTTACTACATGTTCAGTGTAAATTAAGGACCTTTTCTGTTAATTCACTACCACTAGTGGAATGTGGTTAGGTTAGGTTTTTCTATCTCTATACTAACCTAACCAAATTTTAATTCACTACCATTTCTATTGCTAATCTACTATTGCTCTAAAAATGAGTGGTAGTGAATTAACGGAAAAGGTCCTAAATTAACATTAAAACATTGAAATCGCCCCTCTGCCGAGAATAAAACTTAGTTCAAAATTTTAATCACAAAACTGATGTCCCTCATTTACCCTTGGAATGAGTGTCTACTTGTAATATTTTCATTAATTGGCGTAAAAATAAATAGTTATATATACTTATAATATTGAAATATCACTTTTTACACATATTGACAGTTTTTGTCAACTACTTGAAAAAAACTACAAGTTTTCATTTAAAAGATAATGCTTTAAGTTTATCTTAAGAATGTGTTTACTAAAGAAACCCTGTACAGTAAACTCTCGATTATCCGCAGGCGGTTTATCCGCTTTGCGTATTATCCACGGTGCATGTAGGAAAAAAAACATAATTTAAATAAAGTTAAGTTTACTAAATACAAAACCACAATAAAAATCGTAAATCAGAAATACAGTACAGTACATTTAATAATGTACAGTAAAAAACATGCACAGTAGTTCAGTATTAATGTACAGTAAATCGGTATCCACTGTACGTGGTGTGTGTATAATAAACTTATTTAAAGAACTTGTGTGTTGTTTTTTAGTGCCTTCGACCTTTGTTTGGCCATTACCGGCTTATCCGCGAAATTCAATTATCCGCGGTATTCACGCCAGTCAACCCTGCGGATAATCGGGAGTTTACTGTATTTAAATCCCTGTGTATTAATTCAATGCTTTTCTAGAACTTGCTCCTCTGACAACATCCTTATGCTTTTGTTATTATTGACTAGTGATTCTGTACTTGATGATTATGAGGATTTTTATAACTATTTTTGGTTTATTTTCTAATATTTCCTGCAGTGGATTTATGAAGACACGTCTACACTTTCTAATTTGTACAAGCTAGCATTGACTATTGGATACATAAGAAAACATTCCATCTATATGGATCAGCTGTTGCCAGTTTTTTTTACCAAAAACGAATCTAGTTGTGTGAGCCAGTCACAGATTGCTCTAGTGTCTAAAACTCTATTTTGTACCTTATTTTTTTGTTACTAACATAGTTGCTGGGTCTTAACAGTTGCTATAGCTCATGATAAGTCATTCTATCAGTTTGATTTGGTAAAAACCATGGTGTAATCGGCAGAAACCATTAATTTAAATCAGCGCAATCTGTAGGTGGCTCACATCAACTAAGACAAATTTGATTTAAATGCTGGCGACAACTTAAACATGGGGATGGAATGTCTAGTTGTATTAATAGTCAAGAAGCTAGCCATTTCAAATTAGTTTAATAAAGTAAAGTTTTATAAATAAATGCGTAAGCTATAAGTAGCCTTTTAATTAACTCAAAGAATAGAAATGTTGACAAATGATTTTTTGTTTGTTTTTTTAGTCCTTCAACATCTGTACTGAGTGGCATCGGCAATGTGTCCATTGAAGACCTTTACCAGCTCAATCAGCACATTCAGGTATTTAATTTAAAACACTGAAATTGATTTTGGACCAATACCTCAAAATTCTTGTTACAAGACTACATGAACATTTATAGGTAAAATATTAAAAAAAATGTACATTGTCCTAAAAGGATAAAACTAGGGTTACTAGTGGATACTTTACTATCTGAGTCACATCTGAACTAGAAGCTCAATTAAATAAGCACAAAAAAAGTTCAAGCTGAGCAAGAAGCTTGCGGTTGTGCTAAAGACATATTAGAAGTCCACACAGTCACCAAAGATTTTTCTTATTTTACAAGGGAATATAATTGTGCTATCAGCGCAAGACATGTTGGCGAAGCCTTCATGATGAAGGAAATGATGTACATATTGGTTGGCGTCGCTGGATATTACTGCAGTTTTTATAAGTAGATCCACGATATCACTTTAGTACTACAGCTGAACTGTCCTGAAAAAAGTTTTAACAGTAGACTGATAAAAATGCACAAATAAACACATAGAATCAAAGAAGGAGGTGCTAGCTCCAAAGAATGAGCCGTTAAATCAACCTCAAAATCGTTAAAACCCCTAGCCTAAAGCCATTTTCACAAAAAAATCTCACGTCCTGAAATAGAATTGAACATAATGAAATCATAATGAATAATCAGTTTTGCTTTCCATCCATATTTGAATTCCACCCCCCCAAGGGTTGCAAAATAATTGATTTGTCTGAAGCCATAAGAAATACCTAAATTTTCTCATAAACACCTGTAAAAAATTCTAAAAATAGGTATTTTTTAAAGCTAGAGTAAAGTTCCCAGCAATAATTATACTGTTTCTGGAGTGTACAGATGAAAATACAAGTTTGCTTAGAGTTCTTTCATGAAACAGTTGACTCACAGCCTTATGTAGTACTGTCATGGTGTGTTGTAGGAAGCACTGCAGAGAGAGCAGATACTGCAGACCAAGTTGGGATCTCTGCAGCAACTTGTGTTGTCTCTCAGACAGGCTGCAGACCTAGGATGGAATGCTCTCATAGCCGAGGACAGATTACTCTCAAGAGTTGAAATATTAGAGAATCAGCTACAGACATATGCCAAGGTAACCCACACTCTATTTATTGATAAGAGTAAATATTTAGTAGGGATGGGAGAGTAGTGTTTTTTTAGTCGAGTCGAGTAATTAGCCCTAATACGAGAAAATCTTCAATTTTATTTGTCATATATTCCATCTTAATTTTTATGAACAAAGCATTTTTCAATTCATCAAACATAGACCGGGTTAAAAAATGTTATACCATAAAAAACACAATATGTATGTTTATCAAACTTATATTTTGGTGTTAAAGGACAAAGTTTTATTATTAATTGCAGCAAACAACTGCAAAAATATGGAACTGGGCTAGTTAGTAGCTAAACATATGAAATCACTAAATAATGGTTAAATTCACATCACACATCACATAAGTAATAAGTACCAATAATATGTACAAATAAATAAATAAAATAAAAACTCCTCTAGAAACAAAAAAATAACATTTTAAAATAAATAGAAAGACACTCCCAGTAAAACATATAAGGGGCGGTTCACGAGTCACAGGTTATCCTTATTTCGAGCGCAAAATCCAGTTATAGCCAGAAGAACTGGGGTTAGAAATCGGGTTCATGAGTAGGAGGTTACCCGCGCTCGGGCGCAGACAGTTAAACTTCATCCAATTATGACAGGGATAAACCCGAGCGCAAAAAGTCGGCTTCACGAGTTCAATTAGAGAAAACCCCGGGCCAAATGCCGGGTTCATGAGTCATGGTCTAGCGCAAATTGGATAATCTCGGGCGTAAATAACAATGGTTTTGGACTTCAACTTAACCCTGCTAGGGGGCAGGGTTAAGTTGACATCATGTCGCGATTATCTCATTTGCTCGTTTATTGTTTTTTTGTTAGCAAAAAGAATGTTATATTCGAATTTGCCATTAAATTCCAAACAATTTCATTACCCTCAACATGATATTTATTTATTTTTTTTTCATTTTTTTACTACTGATTGTCGAAAACATGCAAAACATTGTAAAAAGTTGCTGTTGAGAAATTTTAATTAATCAATTACTAAATACAAATGTAACTAATAGCTTAACATATTCATATAAATTTAAATTGCAATCAAATTTTGTTACGTAACTGTTTTATATTTACTTTAGCACTTTTGAACCCTTTTATTTCAGCTGAATAGTTGCAAAATAAAAATGGTTTCATCAAACACTGTTAGGTTTGTCTAAGAATTGTTATTGTAAAAAATTAAAATAGAATATAGGTAATTTTATTTAAGTATCCACATTTAATTTTGTATGTTTTAAATTATATGTTTATGTTATTATGTTTATGGTTTTACATTTGTTAAAGACCTTTTCATCTGATAATTTCTTAATAGATTTGTCATATCGGGATTTACAATAAATTGCTTCAATTTGCTGAGGTAAAAGATAAATTCTATAGTTAAATATACAAAACGTTGTGTTGCAACAAAATATTTTTTTAAATTATAAGAATCTGTTTTCTCACACCTAAGATCTCTCATGCTTAGGGCTGCGCTCTACCCGTCTGGCACGCGAAAATGCAAGGGGGGTCTTACAGTAGGCCTACTGTTTGTAGCACCAATTGTAAACCAATTAAAAAGATCTTGGTGTCATATTTTCGTTAAATGTTGTTATTGTAGGTTTGCCCTTTTATATTTACGTTTTATATTATTATTGTTTACGTATGAAGGCATCTTGACTCCTATAATAGCCAGTTGTTCCTCCAAATTTATTTTTTATTCAAATTACTGATACATAAAAAGATACATATAAATCTTTGAAAAGAGCAGTCATTTTATTAAATAGTTTGAACGTTTGGATAAAACTGCAAACCTGATAAAGTATGTCTTATATTTAAACATAATTGGTAATCTAATTTTAATTTGCAAACATTAATTACCAAAATTTGTTTGAACAAATTTTTTAAAAACAATTGTATTTTCCCGATTCAATGTATTCAGTAAAAGTGTATTATTCATAATTCAATGATTAATTGAGTACACTTAAATCTTTAGTATAAAATGAATTTAATACCCTGGTGTCTAAATACCCTGTATAATTATAAAATAAATAAATATAGGATGGAGAGGACACAGCTGACTCACCTGATGAAAGGTTGCAGACGAGTCAAAGAACACATAAAATCACACACATAATATACTTAATATTTCGCCTCTTTCAGAGGCTTCTTCAGAAGTAGGCCTAGATGGTAGTTACAAAACAACAGTTTAAATAGGATGATCATCCTATTTATCATCATCCTATTTAAACTGTTGTTTTGTAACTACCATCTAGCCTACTTCTGAAGAAGCCTCTGAAAGAGGCAAAATATTAAGTATATTATGAGTGTGATTTTATGTGTTCTTTGACTCGTCTGCAACCTTTCATCAGGTGAGTCAGCTGTGTCCTCTCCATCCTATATTTATTTATTTAATCCAAGCTAAATTCTTTTTCCTAAAAACATAACCTGTATAATTATAATAATCTAGGAACCAATCATTATGACGCAACGTCATCCTATTGTTTTTGGGCTCGTCAACCGCGAGCAGCGGCTCGGCAGGTGGCTGTTGCCAACCTTCCAACGAAAATTCCCTGCTGTTGAGCGACGGCCAGCGTTGGTCTCGGCTAAGCTTGATTTCGGCTAACGCTCTATGTCGTGAACCCATTTTTTGGCCGTCGGTTAAAATTGGTCGAGATCAACGATAACCGCAGGCTACGAAACCCCGTACTCGTGAACCGCCTCATAAAAATATTATTTATTTAATACATTTTTATGTAATGTAATTTATTTAATACAGAGGGGCATGTATTAATGACATTTAATACATGATTTCGGATCACGTAGTCATCTTATTCATCTTACTTATCGATACAAAGTCGACACCCGGAGCAGTTCTTGCAAAGTAGTGTGCATGGAACTAGCCTTCTAACAGGAGCATCTGGTTGGCATTCAGTGGAACTACACTTAACTAATTCTATGCAGGCTGCCATAATTGGAGGAAGAGAAGACCAAACAGTTGTCCACTCTTCAGCAACCCTGGTCCATACCCTATCCGTCTGGCTCTGGAGTGTTTCCTTCACTGAGCATGCTCGACCCCAAACCTGGCCTGCCCTGATGCTGATTGAAGGCAGTGCTGCCTTAGTGCCTCTCTAGTTGGGGGTAGACTTTGTCAATCACGATTCTTTGAGTAAAGAGAAACTTTCTAATACCATTAACTAAAAAAATCATCAGCATCTTTATAGTAAAGCAAGAAGATAAACTTCTCCAGGACTTGTAAAGTCTTGACATAAATTGACTCTTGTGGTAGGGAGATTGCATGAAAGGCTGTTGTAGCTTCAGGAAATGATTTCCACACAGTCCAAGCTGTCATTTTTCCTTTCATTGCAAATTATGAAGTCACATCTGATCCTGTGAATGCATGAAATCCTCTCAATGCAACGGCTTTGTGCTCACCCATACCATAGACAATTTTTTTGTCTATCCCCATACTCTCAAATATTGCATTAATATTTATAAATCTTTGACTCTTCCCAGCACCGAAGAGAACCCACATCTCCTGAAGTCCAGGAGTTTTGAGGATGTGGAAAAAAGATATTGCTAAAACAACCATCAGTATCTGCTGTAAAAATAAAGACATTTTTGCTCCATGTTCGACATTGTCTTTGGCGTGGTGGAAAGTCCTGCCGTCAGCTTCTTCCTGTTGCTTGCATTTGACTCCATCAATTGAAGATTTATCAGGCCGAGCCACACGAATAATGTTATCGATCTCAGTGATGATATGTGTCCTTTGAAAATTGGAAAGTGCATGTTCTCCAAGTAACTTGAAGATTTCTGTCTTATTTTGATTGTTGCGGAGGAAATCGCTCCAACTGATTGGTAGCATATTTCCTAGTGTCACTTGCTGACGAATACCAACGCCTCTCTTATTTCGAACACCTTTCTTGGGACATGCTTTTGAGTAAGTATGCCATGAAATATGTATTCTATTTACATGGAACCTCTCAGCATAATTGACAATTATGTTTTTGAATTCCGAACTGCAGTATTCTCCAAAGGTGCGTGATGTTTTTGGTGGAATAGCATGTACTAGTGCTGCTCCATCGAAAATAAATGTATCCCCAAATCCTTCAAATTGTGGTTGGTCAACGGTTTCTTCAAAGAATTTCAATAGCTGAGATTTTTGACATGATCTAAGAACGTCATTTGAAGAAAGCGATGATGGTGCACTGGTATTTTTCGTGTTGAAAAAAGTTTTCCAAATCCAACCTTCTGTTATGGCTTACAATAAAAGCCCTAGAAAATTGTTCAACATAATTTTTATGTCAGTAATATTGGGGTGAGAACTGTTTTTGGTTCAAAATTGGTCCAATTTTTTTAATAGGAGCAAATACACTTACATTTGTCAGTTGACTGTTAGAGACACGAAAAAAGCGAAACGTCACAATAATACAGAATGAAACAAATGGTATGAAATAGAAACACCCCCCTGCAGAAAACCTGCAGAAGCGAATTTCAACTTGTCTGATTACATTTTCACTCAAATTTTCCATAAATAAGACATTATTTATTCCCAATTTAAAAATAACATTAGATTTAACGAGTGCTTAGGTTTGCTGCTACGGGGAAGGTAAAAAGTGTTTTTTGACCAAACGTTAGTAGCATAGGATTAAATAAATAAATTTTACCAATTTAATCAGCATAAACAAGTAAACTACAACAGTGTAAATTTACTCCATAAGAATAACATGGGATTTTTTTTAATTTACGCTTGTTTTTAATTTTCTCTGTAACCGTTAGGCATACAACAGTGCTTCAGTATACTCAATTATTTCTTTTTTTAAGCTCTACAAAATAATGGTTTGGAAAGAAATTTCAAAATTTTATGTGTTTAGGTTCGACAATGGTAAAAACCGATTTTTACCCCATAAAACCCCCATAATTCGCCGTTCTTATGGTCCGGTCATGCTGGTTCGAAAATTTGTTTAGAATAAATGTAGATATACGTGTTTATACCAATTTCATAAAAATCT